AATTCTATAAACAGTCAGCTTTCACACAATTTAAAATGTACACGTGTATTTAAAAATGTCATGAAAATTGTGTTGCTAGCTTCATGTTGCAAAAATGTTGCAAGCTTTTTCACAGCGTGAACAGAATACTACTTTGCCGAGGAAATGTTATGGAATTTCACACTTATTTAACAGAAACAAATTTTATATGCACTTTAACAGCTTTTTCACGTGAAACAGGAATTAAATACTATGCTTAAGAACAAAGATTTTTAAATCGATAAAAAATTAATAAGAAAATTTGAAGGATTTTAGATATTGGGTATGGTAGCACGAAATGTCACAATCTGCTTAATTGTCAGGTTGTTAATATGGCGACGAAAAAGTGACAATGGAACTACCTTGTTTTTTGTATCATGGTCCAAATGACTTCGTAAAAAAGTATTAATATGAAATATTAAGAAAATAACAACTGTAACAAGAAGCAATAACAATTAATTATAATTCTACAAGCGCCATCGGATAGCATCGCATATGTATGTATATTTTATCAAATTGAGTCTCCTAAACACATATTAAATTCTTTAAGGCAGCTAAAACCCACTGATAAAGCATTGCTAAGGGCTACTAATTGAAAAGCATAGAACTGTTTCCTGCAACGCCGGTACTAATTCTAAAATAATAAAATACTACGCATTTTCAACAAGGAGCTCACAAGTAAATAGTACATATAATTAAAAAGCAGCAAAACATCCGAAATAAAACATCAGCGTAAAAATTATTTCCGATGGGCACTAATTCAGGAGCGACAACTGGTATAAATAATAAACCCGTCGGTGCGGGTGGTGCGAGCGATAGTAGCGTCGTGGGTGGTGGCGGTGGTGGTGTCAGTGGTGTTGGCGGAGTTGGTAGTGTCGGCACCAACAGTTTGGGCGGTGTTACCGGTGTTGGCGGGCTAACCGGCGGCAATGCTAACAGTGCGGCGGGTACTGGCGGCGTTGGTACCGGCAGCAGTGGCAGCGATGACTGTGGCAATGGTGGTGGCGGTGGACCTAGTGGTCAAAATAATCAACAAACAACACCACAATACACCATACCAGGTATACTACACTTCATACAGCACGAATGGTCACGGTTCGAATTGGAGCGCTCCCAATGGGATGTGGATAGAGCAGAATTGCAGGTGAGCCTAATATACAAATTTATACATAACTGATTAGTGTGTGTTAGTTTTTAAATCCACTTTGATATGTAGATATTCATATGTGACTTGCGGTCCTTTATGGTGCCAAATTAGTTACATTTGAGTAACTTGGTAAAGGTTCATTGTCTTATTCAAGCTTCACTAGTTGCAGTGTCTTTGGTTTTAAAACAGACATGCATAAGCTGTTTGTCCGTTCGCTATTTATTCACACATACTCTTATGTGCCGATTAGTATTGAATTTTCCAGTCGAGCAATTTTTATATCTATTCAGGTATCTTAAACCATTCATAAAATATTTAAAAGGAGTTATGTTTAAATAAAATTTAGAAATGGTTTCACATAAATGTTTATTTTATTATGATTAAATTTTGGAAATCAAAAAAAGTTTATGTACACTGGCGATCAAAACCGAGTGCATGTACGACATTCTATTACTTACATTAACATAACTTTTTAAATAATAATTTTAATATAAATTTTCGGCAATTGTTCCTTATTTTATAAAGAAATAAAGCCTAGAATGCAGAAAGACTAAACTTAAAAAAGAAACAAGCGATTCACGCTGATGTTAGTTAATATTAAAGGAATAATGAGCAAGGAAGTCTATCTCCATCTTCTCTAAACAAATTTGCCGGACTTTGTAGACAAAAGTGCATACCCTTTGGAAGAAGTTGTTTGCAAGCAGGAGGGAGATCCAAGTCGTTTGTGTTTTTTGCTTAAAGATTACTTGTTTAAGTTAAGTTTTTAAGATCGACCTATCTCGGCAGCTAGTTCGAAAACGCTCTATCTCAAAATTCGGTTCAAAAACGCCCTATCTAACTTCAAAATGTATTGAAAATATGCTGATATAGGGCGTTTTTGAATCGACAGCTGAGATATAGGCGTTTTTGAAACGAGTTCTGAATTAGGGCGTTCTTGAAAAGTTTTTTGAGATGGAGCGTTTTCGAACTGGCTGCCGAGATAGGTCGATCTTCCACTCAGCCATCGATATGTACTAGGATTTATGCCTTAGATAATAAGGACCAATTGCTGAAAATTACAAAGCAATCCGCTTATTATTAAAAAAGTTATGTTACTGTAAGTAATAAAATAAATAAATAAATATTATAAAATGTCGCACATGCACTCAATGTTGATCGCCAGGATATAATATTGCAATTTATCTGAGGCTCTTTCAACGGTGACGGTTGTGACATTTGAAAGTTTACCTCTTGAACTACATATCGCTAGCTCAGAAAGGAGAAGTTGCTAAATCAAAACAATTTGTTAAAATTTTTCAATAGAAGTTCGCTGTAATTGTACCAATCGTGTGACTACAAAAAAATTTTCCCAATACAAATCTGTACAAATGTACCAATCGTGTGACACTGTTTTAAAAGCAATTCGCACACATTCGACTGCAACATAGCCTTACTTTCTACAGCTTTTTTACACAGTGGAAGAGGTGTTTTCCATCAAAAAAATTACTATTTTACAAGAAAAAACTAATGTATTAAATTTTGTGACGGGCGTGATATTAAAAAATAAAAAAAAAATTCAGTATGTACTTGCCCGAAACACTTGAAAATAACATTTGCTTTCCTATGTAGTCGATTATTGTCATTTAACCAAAATTGACCAGTGGAAATGGCAATTAACCTAAATGCTCCGACTAGTCGATTTTCCAGTCTACGGGAATCGACCCGTATAAAGGCAGCTTAAAACAAAATAAAAAATACGATAGACTGCGAAAATTAGCCTTGTCAATATTAAAGATAATAACCTTTCATATGAGTTTGTAAATGGTACGCCCTAAGTTAAAAAAAATATCGATTGGAATATAAATTAAGAAGTTTTGGGTTTCAGTCTTGAAAGTTGGATTTATTTATTCTTTACTAGAAATAATACGCTAAAATTTTTAAGTTTATCTTCATTTCGTTCGGTATCGATTACCGTTGAATGAGCCAACATTTTTTTTTTATTAACTACGAATAACTAGATATGGCAAATTGATAACTACGTAGACTACATAAATATACATATCCATATTAAATTTCGAATAATGTTCAAGCATTATTTTATCGTTCACAACTTATTAAGAGCTTTTCTTTATCAGCTACTTATTATTTGGCCTCCGAAAGGCAGGTTGTTCTAAAAGACAATTTTTCTTAACAGAAATGTGTCACACTTTTTTCTTACGTTTGTAGAAATCGGCAAATTATTCCTTGGGAAGGGTTAAGGAATGATGTAATATTTATCTGGCAACAAGATGAGTCACTTGTTGAGCTTTTAAAAATAACACTGAGACAAATGGTAGGGGTCAGTGATCGGGAAGGGTTCAAACTACCGGGGAAAGTTATATCGGTAAAAAAGAAGTTATACGTGTCCCGGCGTTTTGCTGGGTCACGTCTAGGAATCGAGATATATCGATTTGAAGTTAGTAACTATCATATAGGGCAAATTGTCACCTTTGGTGGTCTTTTTTTTGACATAAGTCGAGAACCACTAGTCCGATTTTGCTCAAACAAATTTAAAAAAATTAAAAATTACAATTCCTTTAATCTGTTCATATAACGTTTTTATATATAATCAACAGTTTTGCCGGTAAAAATAATTGTATGAAGAAAAAAAATATTTTTTGCCTAAAATATTAAATTTTTTTATTTTTTAAATTCATAAAAAATCTAAAACGGAAAAAAAGGCAAGTCATATTACTTTCACGCAAAGTCACATAACAAAACTGTTTTAAGGCAAAAATAATTTTTTTTTTCTTCATACATTTATTTTTACCGGCAAAACTGTTGAGTATATAGAAAAACGTTATATTAACAGATTAAAGGAATTATAATTTTTAATTTTTTTAAATTTGTTTGAGCAAAATCGGGCTAGTGGTTCTCGAGTTATGTAAAAAAAAAAAGACCACGAAAGGTGACAATTTCGCCTATATGATAGTTACTAACTTCAAATCGATATATCTCGATTCCTAGACGTGAACCAGCGAAACGCCGGGCCACGTATAACTTGTTTTTGACCGATATAACATTTCCCATTGGTTTCATCCCATCCCAATTTTGACTGTCGCATATAGTATTATACTACATTTATAGGTATGCATGTTTGTAGATAATTATTTAACTTGTCAATAGCAATTCATCATATAGCATAGAGGTAGGTAGTATGGATATGTTTTTTTCTCATTTGAAATTTGACAATGACAAAATTATCTCGCATTAGGTAAGATGGATGGCAGAGTGGTGGTGAGAGAATTCTTTATATGCCATTAAGGCCTTAAACTTATGTGAGCCGGGATTTTCAGTGTGCGACCAGTCACATTCATATAAATAATAGTGTAAAATATTAACTAAACACTTTCGATTTCAATCAAAATTAGGCTGATAATATCTAATGATAACATTATCTTCATAGAAATATTAAAAAAATATTTAGATTTATGATTGGTGAACTTTCTCCTCTTCACTCCTTGGCGGCAACAATGAACCGGTTCGATGGTGAATCTGTCCTTGAAACTGTATATCTAGTATAGTTGGTGGCAATTGCAAAATGAGTGAGTATCGTTATTCTACAGAAATAGCATATGCTTAGACTTATTTCAGACGAAATACAATAAATGCCTTATCAAGTAGTGCAGTGGCGCTGATGGTTGATTTAACGATGGTCATTTGAGATAGACCACTGGACAACTCATCCCAGGAACACACGGGAGTTCACATACTCGATGGTACAGCACGTTGGTGTGATCGGCCATTCACGGCATTTTTCTAACTTGACGATTTTTAGTAATAGCTCGACTCCAGCGCCTCCCGGCGCCTCTTTTTGCAATAGTATTGCCCTTACCGTTACCGCTACGTATATCAAATATGAGCCAAATTGGATCATAAATACGATTTTTTGTAATAACTCGACTCCAGCGCCACCTAGTGGGTCAAACCGTGAATCTAAACTATTCAGAAACCTACTAAACACTTACAAAAAATCTCTTATATTTTTAGAAACTTATTTGTTTTATTATTTATTTTAGAAATTTAAATTGTTTTTATTGCGTTAATTCCACCTTCTCTTAATTTTTAACCGACTTCACAAAAAGGAGAAGGTTATCAATTCGTAGCAATATTTAAAAAAAAAAAAATTTATGTATGTTACCACATAACTTCGGACCAAGTTAACCGATTTCCATAATACTTTTTTTTAAAGGAAAGGTGTTACCCCACAGGTGGTCCCATACTAATTTCGTTTAAAACCGATCCTTGGATCATGAAGAAAAAAAGATAATCTTAAACTTTTATATGAGAATTGAAGTCGGTTTTGTTTTTTGCTTAAAAATTACTTGTTATATTTTACTGATTAGAAAGAAAAATGTATTTGTTTTATTTAATTTAATTTTAAGGATTTTATTCTAAATTTTTATTTCATTTTTTTAGCTTTTTTAATTAAATTTTCTTTTAGTTTTAAAACTTTGTTTTAAAAATAAAAATACTTTTTTTGTTTAATTTAATTGTTAATTATTACTTTCTACTTTTTTTTATTAATTTTTTTCTTTTTATAATTTAATTTTTAGTTTTTTTAAGAAAAAATATTTTTTTAATTGAATTGAAATTTAGTTTTTAAAAGTAATTATATATCTATGCTTTATTTTCATTTTACATATTTTTATTTGATTTTTATTTAATTTACTTTCATTTATGTGATTTTATTGTTTAAAAATATATATATACATACTTTTTTATTTAATTTAATTAAAAAAACGTATTGCTAAAATGTGAACAGAATAACGCTAAGGCCTATTTTAATTAGTCTTTCGAAAGACGGTAATGAGCTTTCAAGATAGCTGTCAGAATTGGCAATTGTCTTACCAATGACTTTTTTCTACAGTTAGAGAATGCTTACCATCGACAACAGGATCTAGATGTCCTTGTTGTGGACCGATATTGTCTATGAAAAGCTATATGTTTAATGTGTTTTTAGCATTCTAACAGCGTTT